TAGAGTCAAGCCAGCCTAGCACAGGAGTAGCACGACGTTTGAAACAGGCCTAAGACTTCTTGTAAACGATATTAATGTGATTTGTTTTTAAGTTTAAATGGAAGACAAATTTTACCCTTTCACCCCTAATACTGAGCAAAATAAAAATTAAAGAAAAATTCTAAATTTCATTTTGGAAAATACAGAAAAATCAATGGTAGCATGAAAAAGCTACGCATGATGGGTTTATTTAAATGGTAAGACCGTATTATTTTATCCAATGCAAAGACGAAGAAGTTAGAGCAACGTTTTATCTCTCAATTTAATTTTTACTCACTTGTGAAACGCAAAGGCAATTCACAAGTTGGCTCATAGATCACTTTGATATTAATTATCATGTAGATTGGAACCGATGGATGGGTTAGCTTGACAGCTGTTGGGAAGAATATCAGTGTTCGATTCTTGCCATTCGAAGCTGACGTTGATACTGAAGGTGCTGGGTACGTGTCCTGGCGTGAAACGAGAGATGATTCAGTCACCTCAGTGATCTCAAGGGTTACTAACAGTGTATTTCCAGACCTTGCGCCAGTGAATATCACATCGGCTGTCTTAGTCTTTTGGATTGGCGTTGGCTACTATAAAAAGAATTTGGACAAGGTAAGGTTAACCTTTGAATCGGAGAAAGTAGCATTCACTAAGTAAAAGTTTGCATCGCTCGCATTAACCATTGCCATTTATTGATTGAAGATATAGCCGACAAAAATTAAGTTAAGATTTACTGCTCGACGTTTCGTGGTCATCATGAAACCGTCATTATTATGAGTAAATAAAGTATAACAAATCGAAAAATTAAATAAGCTAGAACTGAAATTTTAATTTCTAACATACTAAAGAGATGGCTATAAACAAACACTTTAAAGGGAATTGAGTCAGTTTGGAAATTCAGTTCAAGTTTGAGTTTGCGTATAAATAGTAAAACGAGGCAATCATACAAGCTGTTACATTTCGCAAGCACGTTAAACTGTTTCACGAGACGCTGTGATATCCGAAAATTGTGTTCAAGCTGGAAGTGTTTCTTTTGCGTCCGTCCACAGGCCTGTCCACGCGTATAACCCACATATCCTGCACCACACAGGTTACATTTAAATTTATATCATTCAAAATATTTCCCCGATTCTGATTGGCTAAAAGCACACGCATAATTCACCATAACCAGTTACTGATGACCAAATTTGGAAGAATTTTGTGTTTAACGAGGAAATGACGTCAAAAATTCAGCGTTCTTGCAGATTAATGTACCGTTAACCGAGAAGACCTGGGGACGAGGTTGAGTTGTTTTGGTTCTGAAAACAAGAAATGGCGGACATTTCACTCGTTTCAAGAGCAAGAACTAGGCGAAATTATAGGTAAAAACATGGTAAGAACAGAAAGAACACAACTCGAAGGGCGACATCTGCTATTTCGAGAATATTTGCAGAGCTGAACAACCCTATGGCCTCGGCCTTGGAAGGTGTTATCCACCTCCGCCTTCGGCCTCGCTAGATAACACCCTCCTCGATCTGCTTAATTCTTCATATCCTACTCACCCTCATTCATTAAGTGCTAATTATACGTTACACATTGTCGGTTAACAATGGCAGGAAGGTTTAGGTTCTTGCACCAAAAGATCATTATTGAGCTTCCGACTTACAAACACGGGTTGGATGGCAGTTCCTACTTTTAAACGCAGGTTACTAAGTTGCTGTTTCATAATTTCGACAGAATTCTGCTCTTAAAAAGGTACGATATGACTCTAAGAGCGTTCGTTTTCTCTTGTCTCAATGCATGGTTTCAGTTAGGGTTCCTTTAATTTGTACCGATCATATACGTGGCTCTAGCCTGTACCAAACCAAACACGAAGTGAAAAACTACTTTAAATGTACATTTTAGGCAAGTGCTTACATCTTTTTTAAATATAAATAAAAATACAATAAATTTTTGTGACAAAACTTTAAAACAGTTTTAAACACATTTCAATATGCTTTTAATCAGCTTAAAAAAACACCAATAAAAGCAGATTAAAACACAATTAAAAGCAAGTTAAAAGCAGGTTAAAACATCATTAAAAGCAGCTTAAAACACCAATAAAAACAGCTAAAAAACCCTTTAAAAACATAATTTGCAATTTTGAATGTAGTTTTGATACTGCAGTTTAAAACACTATTAAAAGCAGCTTAAAACACCTTTAAAAATATAACTTTTTACCTACATGAAATTTTAATGTAGCTTTGAAATACAATAAAAACAGCATCTCAAAATATTTTGAAAGTATTAAAAACTGCAAAATTAATGAAACATATTTTTTTTTCCAAATGCAATTTTAAATGAATTTTTGATACGGCTGGTTAAAACACCATTAAAGGCAGCTTAAAAACCTTTAAAAATATACCGAAAAATTCCGAAAATAAGCCCCTCCAAATATAAGCCCCCCCAACTCGTAACGCAAAAAACCTCCGTTAAATCGCCCCTCCAAATACAAGCCAGGGCTTGTACTTGGAAATTGCCCTCAAATACAAAGTAAAACAAAGGAATCAGGGTACATGAATAGTAACATCAAAATTTTTGTATTTCCCGAATAATAAGTATTACGTGTGTCAAATGATTGCAGTCAGCGAGTGTCACAGTTTATTGCTGTTTGCGTAGTTCAGTCTTCACTCTTGGCTTGGATTTCCTTGGTCCATTAAGACAAAGTACTTGCATGGCTGCGTTTTAGAAAGGTGTACGTCCACAAGGCGAGTTTCGGTAAACCTTTTGACACATTACTGATATAAATTTCCTTTTAACTATAAGTTAGCCCAATCAATTTTGAGACGCAAATTTCCCTCCAAGTATAAGCCTAGCTGATTTTAAAACACAAATTTCCCCCCTCCGTATACAAGCCCCTCCGAATATAAGCCCCTCAAAAAGGGGCTTTGAAAAATATAAGCCCTGGGGCTTATTTTCGGAATTTTACGGTAGTTTTTTAATCTATGTGCAATTTTAAATGCAGTTTTGAAATACGTGTATACAGTCAAACCTGTATTAAGCGGTCACCCTTGGAGAATGACCAACTGACCGCTTAATAGCGGTTGACCGTGAAAATTACAGGGTTGACAAACCTTAAACTTAATCAAGAAAATTAAGATGGTGACGAAGCGAAATATCCATCAAACGACAAAGTGACCTCAAAGTGGTTCCACCTCTTCTTGTGTCACAACAAAGGAAGTAAAAGACCACTATAAAACGCCACGCACAGCGCGTCTATTGCACTAGTATAGTACATTTTGACAGTGACCATTTACTAGAAGTAAAGACAATAACAAATAACTCATGCTCATTGGGACTTCAGAAAAGGTGACTGCGTCCGCTTAATAGAGGGTGACTGCTTAATACAGGTTTGACTGTAGTAAAATATTTTGAAACTACAGTATTTTAGAACTGCAAACAATTAACTTTTTGGGCCAACTTAATCTTTTCAAAATACTATAGAGAGAGTATTTAAACAGTGAGAGAGGGTAAATAAAGTACATGTACAGTCACACCAGATTACGGCCGCACAAATCATTTGTGATCTGTGACCACTATATTCCATGCAGCATACATGTACACCAATATTATTTTTAACGCCTTTTAAAGGGCATGTAAACCCAAAAATGCTACAATTTTGTTTGATATGAGTAGAATGTATACCGAAAGTACTTCATAAATCTTTTATCTTTTTTTCGATACCAGCGCATTTTGACCCGAGAAATCACCTCTGAAAGTTCACTTCGTCCGCCATTTTGACTCCGCCATCTTTGTTGTGACGTCACGAGTGGAATCTCTGCCCATCGGAAGTCAAAAACATCTCTGGGACCTTTACAAGCACGTGTGTTGTCTAGTTTCCTACAAGAATTTTTTTTAGTTTTGACAATGGTAAAGCGGTGTTTCGTTGGATCTTGTAATAACTCGAACAAAACAGGGCATTCTACTCATTTTTTCCCAAAAGAAGAAAGAATTCGGCGCCAGTGGATTAAATTTGTCCAAGTTAAGCGTGCAGACTTCTTACAACCTACGGAACACTCCATAATCTGTGGCGCTCATTTTGCACACGAATGTTTCGAGGATGATGGGATGTAAAAATGGGACTCAAAGATAAAAGAAGCAATTTGAAAAGCGATTCGGTCCCCACAATTCAGCCCCAGAGACCAGAAGCATTGCCCGAAGCGCGTAAATTAGCGGACTATCGAGAGCGAAGAAAAAGAAATACCAGCGACTGCGAGACAGACTCCTGGCAAAAGGTCACGAACAAGTAGAGCTGTGCACAAGTTATCGGTTTCTAGGGTAAGTAAGCCAATGTAATAATTAAGAAGGATTTTTTCGTTAGGTCAGTATTAACCGTTCCCCCTTCCTCAAGTATATTCAACCTTTTTTCACAGTTATTGGCCGATAATAAACTTGCCTCCGTCGCTGCGAACGCCGTCACGTCAGCTTCCGAGACTATGCCCGTCGACTCTGAAACAAGTGCTTGCTCTGAAGATGTGACGTCTCCCAGGTTTAAAGAGGTAGCAGTTCAATGCGATATTCTGCACGAAACGTCTATGGGTAAAGGTAGGTTACGCTTAGACATAATCTTACCTCGCTTTTTTTCTTGCCCCCCTAACCGGTTATCTAATGTAGAATCACTATCCAGCAGGCACACAAGTACAACCTTTGAGAGAAGATTTTCAAGTGCAGTGCGACCTTATAGTTACAGCTCCTTTAAGAACTAGTACACCAGAATGCAGCCCTGTTAAAAGTCTAGGAGGACGCAGCGTGGACGATGACAAAGATTTCGATTATGTTCCACCGACTGATTTGTCTCTTGAGGAAGCCGAGGACGACATTGAAAAATATGAGGGGAGTCCGTCAAAGTAACGTACCACCGTTATATTTTTGAAGAGATATCGCACTTTGCTTGTTTGCTTTTTTTTCTTATTTTTCGCTGATGATTTTCACTTCTTATTCGTTAAAATATAGGTTAATTATTGCAGGTTTGGTGGCTTTAAACCAATGTAGGAGGTGCCAAAATCCGCAGGAAATCTTTGGCGTATTTTGTTTACGGCACAGGAAGGGAGCGCCACTCTTACTTTTCTGCCAAGATAACCCCAACACCATCGCACAAGTTGGCGATAAGCGATGTAGCGAAACTTTCTAGACACGAACGAGAGGAAAAATGTGGGAATAAATATATAACTACGAATATGCAGTCATATTTAAACTGTTCACAATCTTTTTACGTATATAGTGAAAATTTCAGAACTGGTAAACATACTCGTGCCCTCTATGACTGTCTGTGACATGTTGTTGCCTATATGCATAATACGCCGTTTCAAGGATCCACACATCCAAGCAAGTAGACTGAAATCCTGGATGTTCTGTTATACAGGACATTTGGACCCCCGTTTGCTCTTCAATTTTTTGTGAGACATTTACCAGCGGGTAAATGCAGTTAATGGAGCATGAAGCCCCAGGGGGGTAGGCCGAGAAAGCCGGCCCCGTCTTAGGCTCGGTGATATCTTGAAAGCCTGGTTCATTAAATGAAAGCACTCTATTCTTTAAGCAGAAAACAAAAGCTTTTCATGGCTAGAACCTCACTAATTTGTCGCATGTTTGTCATCGTGTATTTTCTTAGCTTCGCAAAGATTGGTCCCTGTTTTCAAAGCCCTATTCAGAGCTATTCATGGCTAGACCTTAATCATGATAAGTTGAGATAGTTTATAGTACAACTATGCCTATTGGCCGTATTTTGAGACACTGTCTGACTATAAAGCTTTGCCAATGCCACTCCTAGTCATTATTTGGTTAGCTTGCACGAAAGCAATCATTTAAAGTAGTTTTGAGGAGGAGGAGTCCGCCACAAGCGACCTTTTGGCGGATTTAAACGCAGAACCAATGGAGTCCATGGAGTCAAGTGATGCTGTTTTTACCCCGGCTCAACTAGCGGCGATCCAGGACACTGTTTCGTCGACTGTTCAAGCAGCGTTTCAATCGCTTCCACCCAACGACGTTATCCCGCCTGCTCCCGCGTTTTTCAGCACTCCAAGTCCTCGTGTTTCTTCTGTGGCGTCTCTGAACGGCGTCAATCGTCCCTTGGACAAAGCCCTCGAGGATAAAATACTCCGCAGTGAGTGCGTAGATTTCTCTTTCCTTTTGCCAGAAACACTGTACCAGACCCAGACCCCCGCCCTACAATTGCGTTATGAGGACTCGCCCCCAGGCTACTTGGGCTCCCCGCTTACTGTTGTCAAACGCAAGAAACCAGTTGTAGACTCTTTTCAAAAGTGGTTGGACGCGTTTATGGCGTACATGCTAGTAATCGTCACGGCCTACCCCAACCGGGCGGTGGAGCTCATCAAGTATCAGCAAATCATTAGCCGCGCAGTAACTAAGTTTAAGGGCTTAGCGTGGTACACATACGATGAGCATTTTAGACGCCGCGCGGCTCGCGATCTTACCATCGCATGGGATAGGATAGATATTGAACTTTGGACGGTGACCTTTACGGGTACCGCTAAACCCCATTGTTCTATATGCTCTAGCCCCTACCACCAATCCGATGACTGCCCCCACCAAGAACCCAGCAAAAAGCCTCGCCGGTCTGCCCTCGTTTGCTTCGATTTCAACAAACCCTCAGGGTGTCAGCGTCGTACCTGTCACTTCCCCCACAATTGCCGCTGTGGATCCAGCAGTCACGCACTCTTCAATTGCCCCAGCTCCAAACAGCATGCCACAAGCACCAAATCAGCAACCCCGGGCGATCGCAGCAAAAAATAAAGTGGAACAGCGCCAGCAGAAGCAGAGACCAACAGTATCCACCCCTCTTGATGTAGATAAATTAGCGCTTGAATTAGTTAATCATCCTAATCGATCTTTTGTTGATAACTTAGTTAATGCCCTCAGGTACGGGACTCGCATCGGTTACCTTGGTCCTCAAAAATTCCGGGTATCCAATAACTTGATCTCCGCTTCCCAACACTCCGAGGTTATCTCCGCGAATTTAAGCAAGGAAATGTCGCTGGGTAGGGTCGCGGGCCCCTTTTTCTCGCCCCCACTCCCCAATTTCCAGTGCCACCCTATCGGCGTGGTGCCAAAAAAGCACTCTACGGAATGGCGCACTATCTATCACCTATCTTATCCCCCGGGTGACAGCGTAAATGATCATATTCCAAAAGACCCTTACTCTCTTCAGTATGTACGGGTAGTCGACGCAATAAGCATTTTAAAGTCCTTGGGTCCCGGGGCGTACATGGCTAAAACCGACCTTAAATCGGCGTTCCGTATTATGCCTATTCACCCGGATGACTGGAACCTGTTGGGTATCTATTGGCAATCACGTTACTATGTAGATCTGTACCTCCCATTTGGGCTCCGCAGTTCACCCTTCCTCTTTAATCAAATTTCTGAGGCCTTAGAATGGATCTTAAAACACAACTACGGCCTGGGTCATGTTTTACACATCCTGGACGACTTCTTTATCGCAGAGTCTTCTAAGCTGGCCTGCTTAGAGAACTTTAGTACCCTTCTAAAAGTGTTCACGTCCCTTCGGGTACCAATAGTAGCAGCCAAAACCCTGGGCCCCTCCCAAGTCTTGGAATTTATGGGGATTGTGCTGGATAGTACCCGCATGGAAGCTAGGTTGCCGGAAGATAAGCTAGCTCGGATTAGTAAGCTCCTTGATTCCTTTAGTGCCCGCCGCTCAGCCCGTCTAGTGGACCTCCAGTCCCTTATCGGCACCTTGCAATTTGCCTGTAAAGTAGTGGTCCCCGGGCGAACCTTTCTCCAGCGCATGATCAATCTCACCAGGGGTGTTCCCAGCCGTTTTCACCATATCCGCTTAAACAAGCAATTCCAACGGGATATTACCATGTGGAAATGGATATTACCAATGGAACGGGCGCTCCTTCTTCCTTGATTCCTTTGTTACCTCCTCCCCTGACCTTGAATTGTACACAGATGCAGCTAGCACCATTGGGTTCGGGGGCTATTTTAATGGGAAATGGTTCCAAGGGCACTGGCCGCCTCACCTCCTTATCAACAAGAAGACGGGGATTAGCATTGAATGGCAAGAACTTTTCCCTATTGTTATCGCTTGCGCCCTCTGGTACCCCCATTTTGCGGGTAAACGCCTTCAATTTTGGTGCGACAATGAAAGCGTCGTGGCTATTATCAACTCTGGTCACTCAAAAGCTCCCCGGGTGATGGACCTGGTCCGTTTTTTGGTTCTCATTTCCATGAAACACAACTTCTTGGTACGGGCCCGCCATGTTCCGGGGGTAAATAACGGAATTGCTGACGCCCTCTCACGTTTCCAAGTCAAACGCTTCAGGGATCTTGCACCCAATGCCGACCGGACCCCTTGTTTCATCCCTCCTTCGTTCATGACCCTCTGAAGGATGAAGTCTTAAGGTATGCTAACTGGGCCTTATCATGGAACACCAAACGCACCTATACATCCGGAGAAAAGCGTTTTATCTCATTTTGCCTTATGAACAGACTTACATCTCCAACAGGTGATATTTTACCTGCCTCGGAGGGGACACTTATCTATTTTGCATCTTATTTAGCTCGCACAGTTTGTCATTGCACAATCAAAATATACTTAGCAGCCGTCAGGAATCTACATATAGTTTCCGATTACAATGACTCCTTACAGGGCAAGCTGCTTTTAAAAAAAATTTTAAGGGGCATTCTTCGTTACCAGGGTTGTCCTCGTATAAGTCGTCAGCCGGTCACCCCCCGGGTCCTGTTAGCTATCCGTCCCGTTCTTGAGAGCTGGTTGGATGTTCGGGATTTTTGCATGATCTGGGCTGCATTTACGCTAGCCTTTTTCGCCTTTCTTCGTTGTAGCGAGTTTACGTACCCGGGGGCACGTAATTTTAGTTCTCAGTTTAACCTCACCACTGATTGCGTGACTTTCTCACCAAGTCTGGCTCGCCCGCAGCACATGCTTCTCAAACTTAAATCGTCTAAAACTGACAGTTTTAGACAGGGGCAATCTCTCGTGTTAGCTCGGTGCTCTTCTTTATTGTGCCCCGTTTCCGCTATGCAACGGTATTTTACGCTTGCCCAGCCTCGGCCTGGACCCCTTTTTTACTTTCAGTCGGGTCGGCTTCTCACTCGGTCTTCTGTTACGCATTTACTTCAGGATTCTGCTCGCTGTGCGGGACTCCCATACGAGAGTCTAAAAGGTCACAGTTTTCGTATAGGCGCCGCGTCCGCTGCGGCCGCTGCGGGCTTACCAGACTGGTTAATAAAAGTTTTAGGTCGTTGGTCCTCGGACTGTTATCAACTGCATATTCGCACTCCCGAAACAGTCTTGCTTTCTGCTGTTCCCAAAATGGCTCGTGTGTCAGGGAACTTTATTTAGTTTTTTGTTCTTGCTTGGGGGGATGCATTGCATGCATCTGTGGCGGTTAAGTCTGCGTTGCGACTTCCCCCAAGCTTTTGGCATTGCTTGTGTCTTGCCATCTTTTGAGCTATTCCTTTGCCTTAATCTTGTCCGATCCAGCCCGTGCGGCGCTGGGGAGATAAGAAAGGCTGTGCCAAGATTCTTGTCCTACCCCACGGTAGTGGGGCGATAAGTAAGGCTTGTGTTATTTTGTGCGCATAACCCGAAGTCGCTATAACCTGCCGCAGGGCTGTGTCCCCCCCTTATTACGCCATCATGTAGTTGTTGTTTATTTAGCCTGCGTGCGTCATTTACTTGCGTGACGTTTGCATGCATATCTTACAAGCGGAATAGTGACATTAACCATATTTGCCCTATTTCATGACAACATACGTTTTCGGGTACTGAAGGCATCGGCTGACACATTCCACACTCACACCTAAATTACAATAAAAAAAAGTAAGGACCCCTTTCATAATGGCTTGAGTTCATCCTAGTCTCTGTGTTGCCAAGACGATCCGTCTCGCTTTCGGTTTCGTCCTCACGGCTTTGTTGTTGTTGAACTCTGCGAGGCTCGTAACGATTGGGGTGCGGACCTGTGTCTTCAGAAGGCTCTGAAGTTTCAGCTACATCGCTGTCATATAAATTTACGTCGTAAAAATCACTTTCGTCAGATGAATTCTGCTCTGAACTATCCGATCTCTCACGTATCGCTCGATCGAGCCACCATAGTGATAATCAAGTTGCGCAATAGACTGGTTCCACTCGTTACGTCACAGGTAATTTCATATTGTTAACCGGAAGTTAATCTGCCGTAGAAAACGCCGTGTTTTCGCCTTAGGAGCATCGAATTGGCAGAAAATAATAGCAAAATCGTCTTTAGAATACTTTTTTTACATATAAGGGGATAAACTTGTATTTTGGGGTTTACATGCCCTTTAAAACAAAAATACCCCGCTAATAGAGACCTGCAGACGGGCAGAAGGAAAAGAGACTTCTGTCCTGGGTCGAAACATCCTGTGCTGAGCATGGGCCATGGTTACCTACACTTGTAGCGACTGAACCGTCACATGGTGCTTTTAGCATGTGATTTTATAATGTTGGCTCACTTAATTACAGCGGAGTAACTGTAAAGGAATGCATGAAAGACGGTGGTATCGAGTCACAGACAGCGAACAATACGAGCTGAGAGTATGTGTTTTGGAAGGCGCCGTCCACCGCCATGGATCGTGGTTGGCCATTGAATTAAAGCGAGTTCCGACTCAGGGCAGAGGTCTTTTTTCCTCCTGCCCATCCACTCAGCGAATACAAGGGAAAAGAAGGCTCTGCTAATATAATAGGGTAAAATAAAAAGTACATACAGACGTCCAGGTAGATACATTTGTAAAATGAAGATTTAAACACAACAAAAATGTATTTGAATTTCAAGCTTTCAAATGAACTGCAAAAGGCCTCTAGTACATGTAAATAACCTCAAAACACAGTATAAAATAAGTATCAAGTCAGATTTATCTTCCTAGTACACAATTAACTACTCCACCGTAAAATAAATTTTATTTTTTTCCACTTTTGTTTTCAATAAATAAAACTAAAAACTGCGTAAAGATACAAATGTGCCTTTGAACAAAACCAATCCTTTTGCGGTAACCGGGAATAAACAAAAACTTAATAAAAACCCTGGACACCATGGTCGTTTGAAACCAAATGTATTGCCAAAAACTACTGTACAAACTAAAACATAAAATCATTGAAATATGTCCACAAAAAAATTAATACAGTCCTTAAAAAAACATGAGTTTGAAACAGGATGTTGTATTAGACGTAAAAATCAAACACAAAGGAGAATAAAGTCACTAATACATCAGGAGTTGTCTGAACCACATGTTTCCTAGAAATTTGCTTTTAAAAAAACTTGCTATATCGACATTGATATAGAAGTTAAAACTGAAAAAGTTTATTCTAAAATTAACAAGTCAAATCACCAGGTTCAACCAAAGAAGCTATTTGCATGCTTCCATTAAAGAAAACCTAAAGGTTATTTTCTTATCCCCTGCTATATCATTAAATACTATTAGCCAAACTCATCTATGAGGAACTGGTCACAATACTGTGTACAATACAGTGCTTAAAACATTGAAGGATCATTAATTTAAATAACACCACAGCTACAGTGGGGAGAGATGGCCAAAAAAACTGGAATAGATTGCAACATACTGTAATTATTATAATACTGGGAAGACAATCATTTTTGTTTTCCTGCATGGGGCTGTGATTTAGTTGCTTAGAAGTAATTTCTTCTCTAAGCTTAAGTTTCATTTAACATAACTGACAAAACTAAGCAACACTGTTCCTTGAAGCTGTCTACAGTCATTAAGCTGTACTGTTTTCAAGACAGGCAATTTTCTTCCACCATCCGTTCTGGGTAAAATTAACGTTAACTCTGTTCACCATGAAATCAAAACCCATGGAAATCTTGTGAATTTATTCATAGACAGTTCATGGTAAATCCACAGGTTTTCCACAGGATTTTAATGGTTAAATTAATGACATTCCCATGACTTTTGTGCCTTGAAAAATAAATGAAAATACCCATGAAACCATATGAAAATTTAACATATTCATGACCCATCAAATTCTTTAGATGGTGCACAGGAGCCATGAAATACCCAAGAGAATCGCATTTCATGGGCGTTTAATGGTGCTGAAAAAACCATGAATTCGACAACAATATTTTCATGGTGTTCAATTTCATGACTTTTTAATGGGTTTCAAGCATGGGCGGAAATAGCCTGCGTGACAGGCGTTTGAAAAGGAAAGGAAACGGGCTTTTGGGCGCGAGGGAAACTCGAGGGGCGCGCAAGGAGGGAGGGAGCGAGGGAAACGCTTGCCAGGAAACCATTGTTTTCGCCATCCCGCCTACTAATTATGTATGCAAAAATAACGGAAACTGTGAATGATTAGCTGTCAAATAAGTCTGGCCGCGATGCACTTATTTTTCGTCGTATTTCTCGTACCGTCTTTCTCGCTTTTGTTTTCCTAAAACAAGAAATCTGAAGTGAAGGTACTATAAAAAATGTTCAAATGCGGTCCTCGGTTGAAAGAAGAAAGTTGCAACGATGCGTGTCTTGTTATATACAATCCAGCATGCCGTGTCGGACTTCTCAACTTGCATGCAATGTTTGTCCGAGAAAAATTAAAAACACTTTGCTTACTCTCAAATTGGATCCAGCAGAGCATACAAAAGAACGATGGTAGCGGGGAAAGAGTTGCTGAACTTCCTCGATCTACAAGAAATAAAGCTGCAATCAATTATTAAAGGAAGTTCCTGGCGGCTTTATAACGTCTATAACCAGCAAAAAGAAGTCCTCAAACGAAAACCCGTTAAGGATTATTGATCGCTTCGTCTTCAACAATCTGGTCGTTGATAAAGCGTTGCCTGAGCGGTGGGCGTTTGAGGTCAAACAGCAGATAACAAGCACAAAGACCGCATGATTTTTCCTCTCTCTCTTCTAGTGAGTAAAACAAGCCGTTGGAAGATGAGACTTCTCAAAACCAGCTGTCCGTAAAACTCATCTGGCTGACAGCTCTTTTCCTTCAAACGGTACTTTTAACTGCTTTCTTCTATTCTCTTTTGAAGCTGAAATTGATGCCTCGAGTTTCTAATTCTTACGAATTCCGTACATAAATCTCATCACGCTTCACTGACAACATTATGATTACTGAAAGATCGATTAACTTACTCAGCAGCGTGATGTTGATTTCAACCAATCAGATAAAGATAGTAAGGCTGTGACTGACTTGTTTTGAAGAATAACCAATCAGGATTTTAACCTTCGCCTGATGGATGTTAAAAACGAGAAAAACAATGATCTCCTGGCAGGCGTTTCCTTCCCTTCCTCCTCGCGCGCCCCCTCGCGTTTCTCTCGCGCCTAAGATTCCCGTTCCCTTCCCTTTTCAAACGCCTGCCACGCAGGCTAGGGCGGAAAAGCCCCTGGGTACCGCCTCTCACCGAACCATTTCCAAACGGACAAGCAAATGCTGGCTCCTAATTTGGCCCTAAAAATGCTTTGTATTATTGTGCCCAATCGGCCAACAGCATCTTCTGAGTTCTTTTCGTGAGTTCGTATACGTACACGACGGCTATTCACTCGATTACGGCTTGTCTGGCTCATGTACCAAAGAAATGCAGGCAGTCAGGAAACTTTCAGTTTGATATAAACTCTTCATTTCAAAATACTAGCTACCCGAAAACTAAAGACGCTTTTCCAAAAATACAAGCTTGAGCTTACAACAGTTATTCACGCTTGCATCGATCACGCCTTCGTAAATATTAAGGAGTTTAAGATGCTACGCCAGTTGACAGCCACGAAAATGTAACATGAAAAGTGAACTCACGTTTTTTTCAGTCTCTATCGTGATTATTCCAGCTCGCTTACTTTCTCAAATGCAAGCAAACTCTTCTGGAGCTGAATTTCTATCAACCATATTCAAGTTAATAAAGAGAAAGAAAATTTTGTCATTGCTTGTTTACGTTCTTCACAAAACGTGAAATTAGGCATTCTCACGTGGTAGTCGTGCCGTGGAGGCAAAGAAATGTACAAAAAAGCGTGATGCACGTCACGTAGTGCAACGTTGTTGTTTTGCCTTGTCAACTGCTTTCTTTACTTTCTCGTCGCTGCTGCATCTTAAACTTCCTATTATTTACGATACATTGTGATCCGTCAGAAACAGAATGTTCTCAGTGCAAAATGCTCCTGCTGATAGCATCCGAAACGTTTTTCGACTCATCAGTAGTTCCTTTCGTTTCTGGTTAGGAAAGCTTGGTGAATGAACCGGGCAAATGTGGCGAGATAATAGCTGTCGTGTACGAACTTCCGAAAAGAACTCAGGAGAAACTGTTCGCCGATTGGGCACAATAATACAAAGCATTTTTTGTGCCCAATCAGTTGCCAGCATTCTCTTGACCGTTTGGAAATGGTCCGGTGAGAGTCGGTAACCAGGGGCTCTTCCACTTTCGTCGCACCTTTTCTCTGGCGGCCCGACTTACTACCCCTGGGTCTCCGAGGATGATGAATATCCTGTGAATAATGTAAAATTTCCATTGATCATGAAAATTTTCCTTGGATTTTCATGGCCCTTCCATGGTATTTTTATGGCTCATGAAAGTAATTCGTCATTCAGTTGTCTGAGTTTTTCATGGGTTGTTGGAAAGCATACAACCATCATAAAAAATCCGTGAAATCCCCATGACTTTTGATTGTATTATACTATACTCGCTTTATATAGTATGTACACTATGCTAAAATTAAGCAGTGACATTACTCAGGATATAAAGCACAGAAGACCACATCCACAGAATTTATTAAATAGCAAAAATTTCCCCCAATGTACAAAACAATAAAACGACAATAATTATGCAGTAACGAGGCATGGTATTACAAAGGCCCCATGGATCAGTTTCTGCACATAACTTTTG